GGTGGGTTTATTAGAGGGCCATGTGTTAGAAAACTCTTTACTGGGTTAATCATGTATCTACCCTCTCGAAATAAAGAACATTGTACGGTATTGTACATTGTATTGTCTTGTCCTGTCTATGTGCTGTAACAACACGAATGAGACATTAAGACGAATACAGGAGAACTTGGAACTTCAAATTGGAATATACATTGCACTTTGAAAAAGCGTTGGCCTAAAATTTCAAAGAGTTCACAAGTTGAACTCTGAAACTAGAGGTCTATGATCGCCCCTCCTTATGTTCTGCTCGTGGGCAGGAAACCTTTCTCTCACACAGCCTCTCTCACTTCAAGAGTTAAGTGGGTACCACTCAACTGCCGTGCAAACCTAACGAAACGCTCAGGACAGGGGTGAGGGGCAATAAAAATACTAGGGGGGCTGGGATCGACGGACATGCATCTAATTGTGGGATAGCGACAAAACTCACTATTCCCTTTATGTGGCAGAATCCAGGTTAAATTTAACAAGCAATTCAGTCTCATTATGAAGACTTTACCAACATCTGTTATGCGCGTCAGTCTCCTATGCGGGCTTAACCTGCGCAGGCCGACATGCAGCTGCAAAAATAGAACTTACCTTAGCCAGAAGTTCTTCAGACAGCGCATAGTTGATCCACAGGTAAATGTAACGTCTCCATAAACGCTACTCCTCGGCGGTTGGAATATTGGCGATTACTCTTTCGTAAACTTCTCTCACTGTATCGGGGTCTGCCTCACTTTCCATCAGACGAATGTAATCAAACCACGCGTCGTAATTGTTCGGTTTGTTTTCACTTACTGGTAAATTGAGCGAAAAAACAGGTTAAAATTGTTGAATATGCTAGGTTGGACAAAACGTAAAATGAAGCGGCAGTTTCACTCTCACGTTTTCCTCGACAGGTTTTCCCTTCAAAGGTTTTCTTTAGTGGCGTGAAGGAAAAATTAGACCGCAATTTTTCTTGACATATCGCCTAGCTCAAAGAACTGAAATGTTGGTTTTTGATAAAGGAGATTTGGGAACGAAAATGAGATAAAGGCGAATTTTTCTTTCCTACACCCTTGACAGATCTTCTACTTTATATAAATTCTCCGCCCGAGGCGCAAGGGAAATGGGAGCCTCGCCGCAAAATTAAACGATGGCGTGTGCAAGGAGGTGGGGGTAGTCATTTGTTTTCTTTTTCTCAAACACGCGGTCGATCACGCACGCTCGCTCGCTTCGCGTTTCGTCGACATCAAAATGGCAAGACAGCTAAGGAGAGACTTCCTACCAACTTGAAAAAAAATAACTTGACGAAGTGACTCGCCAAAAAGAAACTTTAAAAAGAAGAGATCAAAGCGAATTGCTGTTAAGGAACTTGAATAATTTCGGCTAAATTCCTGAGGATGAGAAATGCGTGACCTTGTTTCTTCACGCATGGAATTTGCAACAAACATCACGCACTGCTTCCGTTTTTTCTTTTTTTCTTTTTCAATCAACCTCCCAACGAAAATAGAAACAATTATCCATTTTCAGGAAATGTTTCAATTTTTAATTTACTACACAGACAGTTACGGAGGGAAGGTAAGGGTTTCTCTGCGGACGATTGTCGTAAAGGAGCATATAAGTCAAGAGATTTGGAGTCATTCCATGACGCGACAAATAACCTTCACCTTGAGGATTCTATGGAAAAAAGATTCGAGAAGATAGGAAAACATTGAAGTGATAAAAGCAACGAATGAACAAGGACAGCTAGGGATGAGGAAGATTAAAGCAGAGTGTATACGAGGATCCTAAAAAACTGCCAAACCGTTACACTGATAAATAATTAAAAAATATTTTAAGAGTATTGAAAGACCAGCTAAGCCAAGAATTTGATTGGTCAGTGCAACTCAGTTGATACGGACTTTGTTCTGTTTCTGGAAAACCTGACGTAATGGTTTGAATGCTGATATCTGCATTCAAGTCATTGCGTTGGGTGTCTCCCAAGAGTCTTCTTTGTTTCGGTTTGAAGATGGAGTCTCTTTTGATAGATCTCAAGACGCAATTAACTTGCTCGATCTGTCTCGACACTTACACCGAACCTAAAACTATTTCGTGTCTTCACACATTTTGCTGTGAGTGTTTAGAGAGACATGCAAGAGTGAGCCAGAGACAAAGAAAATATCGATGCCCCGAGTGTCAAGCAGAAATCGATTTACCAGAAGGAAATCGCTTCGACCGTTTGCCCAACAGTTTTTTCCACAAAAGTTTGTTGAGTCTTCTCGCAGTTCGAAAGAGTGGCGAGGAAGGTAATATTACTTGTTATCAATGTAGTACAACCAGCCGCCGAATGTTCTATTGCTTCGATTGCGGACGATTCATGTGCCCTAATTGTTTCAACGCACATGAAGTACTCAAAAGGTCTTTTCAAGGGCATAAAGTCACGCCAATCGAAGACTTTAAAGCAGAAGATTACGAAGCACTGCTGAAGCAACAGCCATTTTGTACACAACAGTTCCACGGAAGAGAAAAAGCAAGATTTTTTTGCTCACAGTGTCAAGTTTGCATTTGTCCAATTTGCATAGTCACGGATCATCAAAACCACAACGCCGTTTTGCTCGACAAAGCAGCTCACGAAGAAAAACAAAACATCACTTCTGGCGTTGAAATGATCGAAAAAAAAGAAACTGAGCTTCGTGGAGTCATTAAGCAGTTCGAAGAAACGATTTCTGAGCTTGAAACCAATGTTGCAACAGCCAAGCGAGAAGTCTCGCAAGCAGCCAAACAAATGATCACAGACATTCGACAGCGCGAGCGAGAAGTGATTGTATCCCTGGAAACAACACGCGTGTCGAGACTCGAGAGGATATACGTGGTTAAACAGGAAGTGGAATCCCTGGTAAAACAAATAGGCCAAGCAGCTAAGTTTGCGGCGAATCTGGTATATAGAGGCTCAAGCTCAGATATCATGCGGAACAAGGACACTTTGAAGCAGAAGTTTCAAGAGCTTCGTGGAGTTGAAGCTCAAAGTCATCACCAGACTGCATTCGTTACATTTTTCCCGAATTCTCGACAGGACCTGACACTTGGTGTTATCAAGATCATCCCGACAGTTGCCAATCAATCAAAACTTGAAGGACTGGATAAAATTTTTCAAGCTGGTGTAGAGGCAGAATTGACATTGTGCCCCAAGACAGCAGGAGGAGAGATGATTAAACAAAAAGATCAAGTTGAATTTCTGATAGAACCTGCTGAGGATGTAACGAACGTGACCATACAAGAAAAAGAAGACGGCAATCTTAGGCTGAGGTTTACACCTAAAGTGCCTGGCGCCTACAGCATTGAAGTGAAGATAAATGGCGAAACACTTTCGAACTTTCCGTTCCCCTTACAGGTGGAAGAACGAGAACTTGTTGTTGTCGGTAAATTAGACTTGAAGCTCAACCAAGGACAGGAGTTCAAGGAACCAAATGGAATTGCTGTAAATAGGCAAGGTGACATAGCTGTTGTAGATCATCTCGGACACTGTGTTTATGTATTCAGTAAAGAAGGGGATTGTTTAAGACAAATTGGAAAAGAAGGAAAAGATTCTGGACAATTCAAAAAGCCAACTGGAGTGTCATTTTTAAATGACAACGAAATTCTTATAGTAGATCAATTAAATAATAGAATACAACAAATAGATATCCGCACAGGTTATGTTTTGAAAATCTTTGGACAAAAAGGTGAGGAAAAAGGACACTTTTGGTGTCCACTTAGTATTTGTCTTAACGACGAAGAACGTATCGTTGTCACTGACTGCAAAAATCAAAGAGTTCAAGTAATGTCAAAAGAGGGTGAAACTATTTTCACAATAGGAGACAGAGGTCCCGAGAGACTCAGCAAACCACACGGTTGCATTGCTTACAAAAGCATTTTCTTGGTTACTGAAAGAGACACTCAAAGCATACAAGCATTTGATTCGTCGGGAACTTTGTTGTACAAGTTTGGCGAAAATGGAAATCAAAACGGACAGTTCAACACACTAAGCGGCATGTGTTTAGACAGCTCAAATAATCTTCTTGTATGTGACCTTAACAATAACAGAGTTCAGCAATTTTCCTTAGACGGTCGCTTCACAGGCAAAACTGTCGTTCCTCTACAAGGTCCAATTCGAATTGTTACAGCACCAGATGGTCGTATACTAGTCTCTTGCATGACAGCTAGGAAAATATACATACTGAAGTAAATGTGATGTTTTCTACGAATGATTCAATTCAGAAAATGAATTGATTTTTTTTTTCAAAGCAAAAACTTCGTCACATGTGGCAAAACCCCCTGTACAAATCCTTCTTATATATATAATTGAATCACAAATTTCTTGACCCAGTGAGGTTTCGAACTAAATTAAAGGGTATTTGCTTCACATTACATGTGCATAGAAATATTACTTGATTGGAAGCTGTACAGAAGTCATGGCCACGTGACTTCACCCTTTACCTCCCAAGAGCCAATTAGTAATTCTCCCCATTGGCCGCCATACATTTCTTTGCAATTTAAACAAAAGAAGTTAGTGTAACATCAGAACAACTCCCTATAGCTGATGAGCTTTTCTATTCTCATAATTTGTAAGATAAAATATTTGAATCACAAGGAGAATTAACATATTAATCGCGTCTTGGAGTTCAAAGGCGAAAGCATTGGAATTGAGATCTAGTCTACCCAGGTCCAAGGTATCCACTCTGCCAGTAAATGAGATCTGTTTCTCGGGATTCTCAAGTTCAATTTCTTCCCTGTGCCTTGTAAACAACCAACTGGCCTGCCTCCCTTAAGTTGAACTTTCTAACAACCGGGTGGGGTGGGGGTGGGGGTAGGGGAAGTGATTTGCATTCTTTTTCTCCCGCACCGCGGTCCTTCACGCGCATGTGCTTCGAGTTTCTTCGCTCAACTATGGCCGTCGAATAAGGCCAGGCAGCTAAAAACAGGCTAGCTATCTGCTTGAATAGATATAATAATGAGATGACTTACCAAAGAAAAAAACTCTTCAAGGAAAAAATCAAAACAGTTTGCCACTGATGAATTTGAATAACTTAGGCTGTATTCCTGGAGATGAACAAACTGTGATCTTGTTTCTTCAAAGCAATCAAACAATTATTCTGCTTTAGCGTCCATGTTTTTTGTTTTTTTTTTGTTTTTTTTTTCAACATTTTTAATCACCCCAGCACAAAATATAGAAACAATCAATCATGCCCAGCAAATTTTAATATTTTCACTTTGCATCACAGACAGCTATGGAGGAAAGATACAACTTCCTTTCTTCCTTTTGAGTTCAACGAAGTGCAAACTTACCTAAAACGCTTAGGACGCAATAATAAACTACGAATGAACGAAGATTACTGAGGATATAAATGGTTAATGAAATGACAATAAAGAACTTCAAAACTTAAGGCCAAATTGTTTCCTAGTTACTCAACCGTGACTTTGTTGGGCAAATCATTGTAAGGGTTTAAAACGTCAAATGAGCCAAAGTATTTGTTTGATCAGTTACGATTAGATGACGCGGACTTTGTTGCGAATGTTCAGAGAGACACGCAAGAGTGAGCCAGAGACAAGGAAAGTTCAGATGCCCCGAGTGTCAGGTAGCCGTCAATTTACCAGAAGGAAATCGCTTCGACCGTTTGCCCAACAGTGTTTTCCACAAAAATTTGTTCAATTTACTTGCCCACGATCGACAGAGTAGTGATGAAAGTAGCACTGCTTGTTCCAAATGCAGAAAAACCAACCCTCAGATGTACAATTGCTTTGATTGCAAAATATCCATGTGCCTTGATTGTTTCAATTCGCATCACATGAAGAGTGCAATGTTCAAGGGACAAAAAGTCACGCCGGTAAAAGACTCAAAAGCTGAAGATTATGACGCATTGCTGGAGCGAAATCCATTTCGTTCACAACAGTTTCATGAAACAGAAGAGGCAAAATTCTTTGGCCCAAAGTGTCAAGTTTGCATTTGCCAAATTTGCATAGTCACAGATCATCAAAACCACAACGCCATTTTGCTCAACATAGCAGAACACAAGAAAAAGAAAACATCAAGTCTGGCGCTAAGATGATCAAGGAAAGAGAAACCGAACTTTATGAAGTCATCCAAAAGTTCGAAGAAAGGATTTCTGAGCTTGAAAGAAATTTCACAACAGCTAAGCGAGAAGTCTCGCAAACAGCCGAACAAATGATTGCAAACATTCGACAGCGCGAGCAAGAAGCGATTGTATCCATAGAAACAACGCGTGTGTCGAGACTTGAGAGAATAAATGAGGCTAAACAGGAAACGGAATCCTTGGTAAAACAAATACGCCAAGCAGCTGAGTTTGCGGCAAATCTGGTAGAAAGAGGTTCACGCACTAATATTATGCAGACCAAGGAAAATTTGAAGCAAAAAATTCAAGGGCTTCGAGGAGTTGAATGCCCAAAGCATCACCAGACTACATTCGTTAAATTTTTCCCAACTTCTCAACAAGATTTTACAATGGGTGTTATCGAGGTCATTCCGAAAATCGTAAATCGATCACACATTGAAGGCCTGAATCAAACGTTTCAGGCTTGCGTAGAGGGAGAGTTAACGTTATGCCCGAAATCAGAGGAAGGAGAGACGATTAACCAGTCTGATCTTAAAGATCAAGTTGAATTTCTGATAAAACCCGCTAATGATGTTACCAACGTGACCGTTCAAGAAAGAAAAGACGGCAATCTTAGGCTGAAGTTTACACCTAAACTCCCTGGTGCTTACAGCGTTGAGGTGAAGATTAATGGCGAAACGCTTTCGACCTGTCCGTTCACTTTGGCAGTAAAAGAACGCGAACTTGTCGTAGTCGGTGAATTGGACCTAAAGTTCAACCAAGGGCAGGAGTTCAAGACACGAAGCGGAATCGCTATAAACAGGCAAACCTTTGGACAAAAAGGTGAAAAAAAAGGACACTTTAAGAATCCACTGAGTATTTGCCTTAACGATGCAGAACGTATCATTGTCACTGAATTCCTTAACAACAGACTTCAAGTTCTGTCAAAAAAGGGCAAAACTATATCCACAATAGGAGACAGTGGTCCAGAGAGACTAGGCAAACCATACATCTGTATTCCTTATAAAAACATTTTCCTGGTATCAGAAAAACAGAATAAATGCATAAAAGTATTTGATGTGTCAGGAACTTTCTTGTACAAGTTTGGCGAGGGAATCAAGATGGTCAATTCAACGAACCTCGTGGCATGTGTTTAGGTGGTTACAATAATCTCCTTGTTTGTGATCACAGCAATAACAGAGTTCAGCAATTTTCTTTAGACGGTTGCTTTACAGGTAAAACCATCGTTCCTTTACAAGGTGCAAATCGAGTTGTAACAACGCCAGATGGGCGTATACTAGTCGTTTCCAGGACAACTAAGAAAATATACATACTGAAGTAACTTTGTTGCTATTCTATGAATCGTTCAATTGGGAAACCACATTGATTTCTTTTTCTTTTCAAGCAGAAACTTCCTCCAAGTGGCAAAAACGCTCCCGGTACAAATGCTTCTTAGATATACGAATCACAATTTTTTAAGTCAGTGATAAAACTTGTAGTTTTCGCCTGTTTTTCACAGATAATCTTATTTGTATTGGAAATATCCTTTGATTGAAAGTTGTAGAGAAGGCATGGCCAAGTGGCTTCAACCTTTGACTCCCAAGATCTAATTAGTAATTCTCCCCACTTACTGCCACACATTTCTTTGTAAATTAGACACAAGAATTTGGTCTTACATCAAAATAATACTGCAGCCACAAGCCGATAAGCTTATCTTTTCTCAGAACTGGTTTGAAAGACAACACATTGGAATTGTAAGGCGAAGAATCTTGTTCAACGCCCATTGAAGTTAAAGGCTGTAGGCAATGAAATTGAGATCTAGAGTTCCCAATTCCTATCCATCCACTTTGGCGCTAAATGAGATTTTCTTCTGATTTGTTTTATGATCACTTGATCATCAGTGTGACACTGTACATACAGTCTTCGTGATTCTAGGTAACATATATCCTTCATTTATTTGGCTTTTTTTTTAAGTTTGGATAATAAAAATACGTTAAACACTTGACTTCAACTGATTATATGCAACTTTAACTACTCATTACTAAATTAATTTTCAGTCTGTCTGAATTTTCTAATCAAAGCATACAATGCCGGGAGATATTTCATCATGTAGGAAATTTCTGAACTAAGTCTGAAAAATCGAGGGAATCCAGGTGGACACTTCAACAGGCCCATAGCATGTGTTAGAACAGGTCCAAACCAGTATTTTTTTCGAGACCATTTTAATAATAGAATTCTGTCAGCAACTAAGTTGATGGTTGCTTTCTGAACCAAAACTACATATATTCCTGGAGTAGTCCAACACTTATGACAACAGGTCCAGATGGGTTCTCATACTGTTTCTTCTTTGATTTTTTTTTTTTTTTTTTTTTTTTTTTTTTGTTATGTGTTGTACAGATAGAGACTTAGGAAAAAACCTGTCAAGGTCGACCTTTGCTAAAAAAATTTGCTTAAGCAAGAATCTTACCAACAAAAATGTTACGGGTTTACAGGACTAAATGCACATCTTAAACATTCTGTGATGACAACTTGAAGCATATTTCCAAGTTGCGTTGCTTGTACATAAGCTGCTTAAAGGTTGTAAAATTAGTCGGTCACGAGCGTCAACAATAACGATTGAATTTGACAGAAAACAGAAAGTTGATGAAAAAAAGAAGGGGGAGAGGGAGAGAAATTGCGAAGGGTGTTTTGCGCTCGTCATAAAGCCCTGAGGTTTTTCTTTCTATTACAGGTTATGAATTCTTTCCCCTTTCATTAACAATAGAACTTCGACAACTGATTTTGTGAATATAAAGCTTTTAGACAAATACAAATTCGCTTTAATAACGCAGTAGATGAACAGTTTCACGTTACCACAAGGTCAACTGAGGCAAGGAAACTGACAGGACAAAAATATATGAGTTCACACTGACTTTGCTTTGTTTTCTAGGAGTCTGAAACACAGGCCGTTTGTTCAAATTTTTTTTTTAACTACCCTTTGTCCTCATGTAAAACCACAGGCAAAATTGATTTTCACAAACGGGACACCGATGGAGATTTTAAAACTAGGACGGACAATCCAACCGCAAAGGACAGATCTGCTGTCTTGTTGTGAATCGATTGTGTTGTATGATTTGTATGATCGTCCGAGTGAAAGTAGACCATAAAAAGAATGTTGTTTGCGAACGTGACAGACTACTTCCGCGTTAGCTTGTGCAGAAGTAACCATTAGAGGAAATGATTGAGTTCTTCGCCAGTCAAAATTTCCATGAACCGTTTTAAGGCTTTGAAACACTTTTAAAACAATAAACTCATAGACCATTCTTTACCCGACTCTAATCATTACATTACTTCCGTTTTTGTTTCTGAGACAACTGTTACTTCCTAAAAACAGTTATTTTCAAGGATCCCCTACCCCGGGAAGATCACAAAACTAAAACAACTCTTACTCCCGGGTTCAACCGCACTGCGAAATTTAAATATTCCAGAGTATAACCTCCTAACCTGCTGTCTTGTCATGTATGGCGTTTGTCTCAACTAGGCACCGAAAAAACAAATCGCTGCATGCATGATCAGAGACCAAACGAGTCACGTAAAGACTAATTGGACCACTCGCTTTCATTTATTTTTGCATCTCATATTTGTCTTAGTCTATACCGTTAATAAATGGCTTTCATTTAAAAGAAGCGTCGCCTAAAGGCCTCAGCGCAACCGACTGAGTGTATTTATCATAAATGAGAAAATTACTTTCAAATCGACTTGACGTCACAAAAAAAAATCAACTAAGTGCTTTAATGTGATTGGCTACAAAAAACTCAGCTGACATGGACTTTGTTCTGTTTTCTAGGAATCAAAAATCACATCTAAAATTTCACAAGCGTCTCTTTGTATCCGTCGTTTAAATAGTCTGTATTTCAAGGCGAACGTGATGGAACACCTTCTGGAAAACCTCAAGAAACAAGTAACGTGCTCAATCTGTCTCGATACCTACACAGCCCCGAAAATAATATCGTGCTTCCACACTTTTTGCTGTCAGTGTTTGGAGGAACATGCTAGAAAAAGCCACAGACAAGGAAAATTTCGATGTCCCGAGTGTCAGGCAGAAATAGATTTACCAAAAGACAATCGCTTCGACCGTTTACCCACCAGCTTTTACCATAACAGTTTGGTAGGTCTCCTTGACACGGAAGATCGCGAAGCCTTGCAGAAGCCGCCATTTTGCTCGCAACACAAGAACAAAAGAATAAGTTATTTCTGCTCTTCCTGTGAAGCGTGTATTTGTCCTGTTTGCTTTGCTGAACACCACCGAGGACATGAGTTCGACGTTATTGAAAAAGCAGTGCAACAGGATAAAGAATACATCATGTCGAACGTCGAGGCCATCAAGAAGAGGGAAAACTTGTTTAGGGCAGAGATTAGAAAACTGGAACAAACATCTGAAGATGTGGAAATGATTATCGCAATCGCTAAACAAGAAGTGTCCGAGGCAGCTGAACACTTGATCACAAAGACGCGACAACAAGAAGAGCAGTTGTTAGAGTCCCTAGAAATGACGCGTAGGAAGAGAATAGAGCGAATCAACTCGGCTAAACAAGAACTCGTATCTCTGGTCAAACAAATGAAGCAAGCAGCGGAGTTTGCCGGGAATCTGGTGGAGAGAAGCTCAGGCTTCGATATTATACAGACCAAGACAACTTTGAGGCACAAATTTGAAGACCTTCGTGGAGTTGAAGTTCCAAAACATGGTCAGACTACATTTGTCAAATTTACCGCAGTATCGCACCAAGACTTGAAACTGGGATTTATTCAACTCCCGCGGAGAAACCAGCAAAAGCAGCCAACTCAACTCTGGAAAGACTAGATCACACTTTTCAGGCTGGTGTAGAAGCAAAGTTTACGTTATGTCCACAAACCTCTGGAGGAGAGATTAGTCACAAGGCTGATCTTGAAGCCGATCAAGTTGAATTGCGGATAGAACCCGCCAAAGATGTAACAAACATGACCGTTCAAGAAAAAGAAGACGGAAATCTTAAGTTGAAGTTTACACCTAAAGTGCCTGGCGCCTACAGTGCTGAAGTGAAGATTAGTGGCGAAAAGCTTCCGACCTGTCCGTTCACTTTGCAAGTAAAAGAACGTGAACTTGTAGTAGTCGGTGAGTTGGATTTGAAGTTCATCCCAGGGCAGGAGTTCAAAGGACCCAGTGGAATAGCTGTAAACAAGCATGGCGACATAGTTGTTGCAGATCACCACGGACACTGTGTTTTTGTATTCGATAAGGAAGGAAACTGTATGAAAAAAATTGGAAAAAAAGGAACAGATCTTGGGCGATTCAACTATCCAAATGATGTGTCATTTTTAAACGACAACGAAATTCTTATTGCAGATCGATTAAATAATAGAATACAACACATAAATATCCAAACAGGCTCTGTTTTGAAAACATTTGGACAAAAAGGTGAGCGGAAAGGACACTTTATGAATCCATGGAGTATTTGTCTGGACGATACAGAACGTATTATTGTCACTGACTTCCTTAACAATAGAGTTCAAGTAATATCACAAGAGGGCGAAACTACATTCACAATAGGAGACAGTGGTCCAGAGAGACTCTGCGAACCACACAGCTGTATTCCTTACAAAGACATTTTCCTGGTATCCGAGAGAGACAATCACTGCATAAAAGCATTTGATTCGTCAGGAACGTTTTTGTATAAATTTGGAAAAAAAGGGAATCAAGATGGACAGTTCAACAAATCCTGTGGCATGTGTATAGACGGCTCCAGTAATCTTCTTGTTTGTGACTTTGGCAATGACCGAGTTCAGCAATTTTCCTTAGACGGTCGCTTTTCAGGCAAAACTATCGTTCCTTTACAAGGTGCGAATCGAATTGTAACAGCACCAGATGGGCGTATACTAGTCGTTTGCAAGACAGCTAAAAAAATATACATACTGAGATAAATGTGCTGTTATTCCACAAATCATTCTATTCGAAAACAAATTAAACCATTGTTTTAGGCAAAATTTTTCACACAGAAAAATGATCTTAAACGAGTCTAAGATGGGTTTTACTTTTTATCGAGTAATCTGCCTCTCTACTTGATATGATCGAATAAGAAGAAGAGCAGAAATTTTGAGAGTACACAGCCCTTATCAGCAAAGAACTGTACCAAGGTCTAATGTGATCTGAAGAAAACATTAGCAAACAGAATTTATAGAAAAAGTAAAACAAGCACAATTAAACAGAACCTCAAAATTCTGTGCCATGCACAAGTGCTCTCAATTAGTTTTTTAGAAAATATTTAAATTGACGTATATATCTTTAAACTTGTTGATATGTCATTTAGCTATCACCTGATTTTTTCACCGATTATCTCCAAAGTAAATTAAAGGGGAATTGCTTCACAATACATGTACATTCACATATAAATCTTAATTGATTGAAAGTTGGAAAAAAGAGTAAATTCTCCACACCGACTGTCCTATATTTCTTTAGAATTTAAACAAAAAAAGTTAGTTCTATCAGAATAACACCACCTAACTGATGACCTTGTCTATTCTCAGAACCTATTTGCAAGATAAGATATTGCAATGAAAAGGAGAATTTACATATTAATCGCGTCTTAGAGTTAGAGGGCGAAAGCACCGTCTGGAATTGAGATCTAGTCTTCTCAGGTCCAAACTATCCACTTTGCCATTAAAAGAGATTTGTTTCTCGGCATTCTCAAGTTCAATGTCTTCCCTGTGTCTTGTAACTGAATAACCATCTAGTCTGCCTCCCTTACGTTGAGCATTCTAACAATGTACGTAAAATTTGTTTGAACCAGATACCCATTAAGCACCCAGTTGAGCATTTGTTTTCCTTATCAATTACATTGAACTGTCGTAGTCAGTTGATACACTGTACGTACAGTTATCAATTTTAACAAATGTATTTAATTTTTTTAAAGTGGATTTTTAGTTTAACTGAATGAAATGATTTTCAATACTTACCTTGTACTATTTTTAACGCAATTTTCGGCTTTTGTCTTCGGTACTCATTACTAATTTTCAGACTGCAAGACGTTTAAAAAACTTAGCTCAGATATCTGAAAGAGACAATCACTATGAAAACACTGATCATTAAGTAACCCTTTTACCCAACTTTGTAAAACAAGGCAATCATGTTCGAATCTTAATCAGATCCCATGGCATGCGTTAGGTTAACTCCAAAAATACTTATAAGACCACGGCCATAACAGAATCCCGTCGTTTTCGGAGTCAAACATATCATCCCTGTATGAAGTTCCACATCTAATGGTAACAGGTCCAGATGGGTCAAGATTTGCCATTTGAAGTATAACTGGCAGAGCTTACATACTGACGAGGACCCGAGGCCATTTTGGAAAGTGCGACAAGCAAGAAAACTTCCGGTAATGTATTGTCAAATGAGAATTCGTGTAAGAAAGGAGACTAATTAGAGCCAATCAGCACCTAGTATATATAATCGCGTAGTTCGCTGGGGTTCAGAATACGGTCCGTTGAGCTGATTCACAGATGGAATTTTTCGAGGAAATCGGAAATTCTGGCTGTTCACATGCTAGCTTGAACCAAGAGCCATACTGAGACAATTATGGCTCTTGCTTGAACATGTTTAAAAGTTCAATTTTTGCATCTTCTAATTCGTTTCATTTTTGATCATTTTTTTTTCTTTTGCCTTTCTAGAGATGATGACCATGAATCGGCCCACTTGCTATCAAATTGACGTCTAAAGCGAAAGAAAAAAATGAGAGTATAAGAAAAGTTTACGCTCGCAAATACAACGGGGGGGTGGGGAAAGTGATTTGTATTCTTTTTTTCCCGCATGGCGGTCCTTCACGCGCACGTGCTTCGAGTTTGGTCCCTTAACTATGGCCATCGAAAAAGGCCAGGCAGCTAAGGACAGGTTAGCCATCTGCTTGAATAGATATATTAACGAGATCACTTACCAAAGGAAAATCTCTTCAAGGACGAAGTCAAAATGGATTGCAACAGATGAATTTGAATAACTTAGGCTGTATTCCAGAAGATGAACAAACTGTGACTTTGTTTCATCAAAACAATCAGACAATTCTTCTCCTTTAGCGCCAATGTTTTTTTTTCAACATTTTAAATCACCCCCCGTACAAAACATAGAAACGATCAATCACGCCCAACAAATGTAAATATTTTCATTTTGCAGCACAGACAGCTATGGAGGCAAGATACAACTTCCTTTCTTCCTTTTGAGTCCAACGAAGTGCAAAATTACCTAAAACGCTTGGGAGGCAATAATAAACAACGAATGAACGAAGATTGCTGAGGATATAAATGGTTAAAATGAAATTACAATGAAAAACTTCAAAACTTCAGGCTAAATTGTTTTCTAGTCACTCAACCGTGACTTTGTTGGACAAATTATTTTAAGGTCGGCACACACGAGGGGACTAGTCCCTGCGATTAGTCCGTGCGACTAGTCCCGGCGACAAGTCTTTGAAGGGTTTACACGAGGGGACCGGTAGCAGGGACTAGTCCCTCAAGGCGTTCACACGAGGGCACTCAATTGCACA